GTGTGTGTGTGTGTGTGTGTGTGTGTGTGTGTGTGTGTGTGTGTGTGTGTGTGTGTGTGTGTGTGTGTGTGTGTGTGTGTGTGTGTGTGTGTGTGTGTGTGTGTGTGTGTGTGTGTGTGTGTGTGTGTGTGTGTGTGTGTGTGTGTGTGTGTGTGTGTGTGTGTGTGTGTGTGTGTGTGTGTGTGTGTGTGTGTGTGTGTGTGTGTGTGTGTGTGTGTGTGTGTGTGTGTGTGTGTGTGTGTGTGTGTGTGTGTGTGTGTGTGTGTGTGTGTGTGTGTGTGTGTGTGTGTGTGTGTGTGTGTGTGTGTGTGTGTGTGTGTGTGTGTGTGTGTGTGTGTGTGTGTGTGTGTGTGTGTGTGTGTGTGTGTGTGTGTGTGTGTGTGCGTGTGCGTGTGTGTGTGTGTGTGTGCGTGTGCGTGTGTGTGTGTGTGGGCGTGTGGGCGTGTGTGTGTGTGTGTGTGGGCGTGTGGGCGTGTGTGTGTGTGTGTGTGTCTGTATAACTCATGAACCGATACAACGAAAAACACCAAATTTTAAACTTAAGCTTTGTTTTAGCGTCCAATGAGCTGATTAGATTGTGGGCAGAGTCGGAACATCTGGGGGATACTTTATAGGTGGTCATTTTTATATTTTATGGAATATTTCTGTTATTTACGTTTGGAGAAGAAAATTCTTCAAATAATTATCTATAATTTTTGTTCTGTGCAAAATTTTCCTAAAATGGTCCGTATTCGAGAAATTTGACAAAATGTAAAAAAACTATTTTTTTATAAAAATTGTTTGAATAAAAGTTGTTTATAATATAATTCTCTATAATTTTTATTCTATACATAATTTCTCTAAAATGGACCGTATTCGAGATATTTGAGAAAATGTGTAAATTTCGAATTTTGAAGAAAACTCAAAAACTGATAAAGAAAAAAACATAAAATTTTAAACTTAAGGTTTATTTGGGCCTGACGTGAAATGATTAGATTTTGGACAAAGTCGAATCATCTGGGGGGATACTTTATGGGAGGCCGTTTTTATATTTTATGGAATATATCTGTTAATTATGTTTGGAGGAGAAAATTGTTCAAATAAAAGTTACTTCTAATATTATTATCTATAATTTTTGTTATATGTCAAATTTTCCTGAAATGGTCCGTATTCGAGAAATTTGACAAAATGTGCAAAATTCTGATTTTTATGAAAATTGTTGAACTAAAAGTTGTTTGCGATATCGATCTCTATAATTTTTGTTTATACATGATTTTTCTGAAATGGACCGTAATGGAAAAGTGCTAAATTTAAATTTTTCAGTATTTTCGTTTTCAATGAATATCTATAGATAAATGTTTCGAGGTAGATATATGTGGACAATGTATATATTTGGTTTATCCTCCTCTAAACATTTATAGAAGTGCTGCAATAGGTTGTACAAAATAACCGGAAAAGCCTATAATAACTAGATAGGAAAGTCATGTGTTGGACACATCAGATTTTTAAATATAGGAAATGGGAGAATATAAAAGTGTGTAATCGGTACGCAAAAAAGTGTTGAATATTTGCTACATAGGAGTTTGAATTTTTAGTTTTCTTTTTATGGCTTTTTTTTAGTGCAAATATGACATGTTTATTTACGTGTTTGTTTTTATTTTTTCATGAATTTTTTATAAATAAATATTTTTTAATGGAGCTGTGGTTCTTTATATATTAAGGTACTATATACGTCCTAATATATATACCTAAACTATATATCTCGCTATATTTATAAAGTGCGACTGGGCCTCCAGCCGTGTTAATTTTTAGGTTCACTGAGACTCCGCTGTTAATAATATATGGACTCTACAGCAGAGTCTTAGTGAGCCTAAAAATTAACAAGGTGGGCCCAGTCGTACCGTATGGATATATAATGAGAATGTTTACTCATCAGTAAGCTTTAAGGATTTTTTTTTGAATTCGTTTAAAAATTTATATTATGTAGTAAGAAACTATTAACAGATTTCTATAATTTTTTAACCAGTTTTAAATATACAGTGAGTCCACTTAAGTACGCAGTATATTAAAAACTTTTTTATTATTAAATTAACGAGAAAAAGTTATTCTTCATAAAAAGTTCTGCATTGTTTAAAACCTAAAACCATCAAATATTTTATTTTATAAATTATTTTTAGTACCTTCTGGTAATCTATGTAGACGTAAAAGTTTCAATCTATATTTTTGTTCTTGTTCATCAAATTTATCATGTAGATTTTTATTTTCTTTAAAGCGTACTGATATATTATTCATTGATGTGATTTTATAATTTACTTCTTTTAAATGTTCTTCAATTGTTGTTAAAACAATATCGGTCATTGTTTAGCCAGATATTTTAAAACCTTATATGTAATAATAATATCGGCGAAAAATTTCTGAGAGGTATCTGTAACAACATTATTTAATTTTTTGTCTTTTTGTAAACACCATTATTACATTTATGAAAACAAAAATTTTAATTTTAAACTAGTATTGAGCAAAAAAGTCATTATAATATATACACACAAAACTTGAGAAGACTTAAAAAGAATAGAACTATTGCAATTGGTTTGCCGGCAGAAACGACGAATTCGCATACTACTCGCTAAGAAGGTTTATCTTCAACGGGTTATTATTATTTTAAATAAAAACATATGGTCTGAGTAATTAAGTTTTTCTTCCTTTTGCTAAATAAATTATTAAAAAGTGGCAACAGTGCTTGGAGCCTCAGTAAATACATTATCTCTAGTAAGAGGAGGTGCATTAACATAAACAGTGTCAAAACATATGTCAAATGTATATAGTGGACGTTACGTTGACCTATCCAACTAATGGTAGTTGAATTAGTCTTTACAAATAACGGTGTATATAATGGCGTATATACGGAGGAGTTTTGGTAGGCCATTTATGGAATGGAGTCCCAGTAATGCCACGTAGCTAGATATATATATATATATATATATATATATTTCTGATCACAAAGAAGAAATTAAACTATTATATTCACAATTAAATAAAAATATACAAGAAACCAAAGAAAAAGTTATTACCAAAGCTAATGAAAAGCGAGAAAAGTTAACCGATGAAATTCCTTCTAAAGTATTTGTTCGTAACAAACAAAAAATAAATATCAAGCTGAAGAAATTAAAGATACAAATCTAGAAGAAATACTGCTAAAATTATCACTAGACATAAAAACACTGCCGAAGATATTCATTTATCAAATATTAAACGTCCTAAAAGAAAACCTTATACTTTTATTTCAGGTGCGTCACAATCGGATACGCATCAGTAGACATAAAAGACATCATCCACAATTTAGGTATTCCTACCAATTGATCTAGATCCTGCCAAACTTCAAAAATCTAGGCACACATTCGTGCATTTTTACGATTTAAACCCGCTATTGCAGGAATACAACAATTTAAACATACAGTTTAACTATCTTAAAAATAATATTTCAAATAATACATTCTTGAGTATAGAAACTGAGAATTTCGTTAATATTATAGTTTATCTTAAAACTAATATAGAAGAAAAATTTAACAATCTTAATACTCACTCACTTTTAGAAAAAAAAAATAAAAGAGGTTTAATAAATGGGTTTGGATCAGTTCTTAAAGCCATTACCGGAAATTTAGCCTCCCAAGATGGAGAAAAAATAAATTCAATTTTAGAACATTTAAAAGAAAATCAAGCTAATTTACAGAATCAATTAAAAATGCAATATTCTGTCAGTAGCCAGATAATAAATAATTTTAATCAAACAATTTAAGATATCCAAAAAAATGAAATTTACTTAAAAGACTTATTTAACGAATTATTGATAATTTATAATTTAATCCTGGACATAATGGAAAATGTAGAAAATTCCATAACATTTTTTAAACTGAAAACTATTCACCCTAGTCATAAAATCACATGAGCTATTTTTAGAATTAAAAAAGATTTCTTCTCATTATCAGTTTCAGCTACCATTAGAAGTAAAATATGAAAATATTTTAAATTTTGAATCAATCTTAAGAGGTTAACTGTAAATTAAAAAAAAATCAAATACAATATTTTCTATCAATTCCTATTGATTTTGAAACAGAATTCGAACTATATTATTTACTGCCAATTCCCACTAAATTTGAATCAGAATTTGTTATAATAATGCCAAACACAAAATATTTATTAAAATCTGGAAATCAAATAAAGCCTCTAAACGATATTTGCACACGCGGTAAAAAATTCCAATGTCCTAGCCATTTACAAAATAATAATGAACAATTATGCGAAAAAGAAATTTTACTAAAAGGAAATTCTAGCCAATGTCAATATGTTAAGGTAGATATTTCTAAAAATCACATAGAAATTATACCAGAAACAAATCAATTTTTGGCAATATTTCCTCAAGAAGAAAAATTATCAATACAATGCTTGCAAGGAACCGAAATTAAAATCCTATCTGGAATATTTTTAATTGATAATTCACCATGTAAAATAATATTTAAAAATCACGAATTAACCTTTCAAGAAAAATCATTTGGACAACCAATTATAATAAATAAACCAAAATTGTATTTTGAAAAGATAAATCTGTTGCCAATGAAATTAAATTTAAAAAGTTTAAAACTAAAAGAAATCAGTTCAAATGGACCAATACCTATAATAAACGAAACTTTTTAAGTATTATATTTCTAGTGTATGGACAATTATTCTTTACTTTGGAGTAGCAGTAACAATTATTTTTATTATCCACAAGAAGATGCCTAAGAAGAAGAAGGAAAAATCCCCACCGGAACCAACCCCTGAAGAAGGACATATGTTTTTGAATTTTCACATTTTAAGGGGGGAAAACGAGGGTGAAAATTTGTATAGAAGTATACATTTTTTGAACGTTGAATCTTAAAAATTATAATTGTAGCATAAATAAATAATGACGTACTCTGTGATTATTAGATTTTTGTATGGTAACTAAAATAAAAAAAAATAACTTGAATTAATTTGTCAAAATGCAATCAAATAGTACTGGTACCTATTCTCTCAAAAATGTCTTTTGCCTTTTCTTGAATTACTAACAAATCATTAATCAACTCCCTATGATTAATTTTACTTTCAGCTGATTGATCTTGCATCTGTTCCAAAGATGATTCCAGTTTCTGTTGGATATTTTTAGTCATAACAACTAAATTATTATGCGTTTCAGCAATAAATCTTTTCTCGTCTGATAGCCTCTTTATGTTGTCTTCTATAGTTAACTGTCCATAAAATTGAGCTTTTTTTAAATTATCTTGTTGTTCAAATAAGTCTTTGTGTCCTTCTCTAAGAGTTAAGTATGTTTTTTCTGTAAGATATTTTAAACTTTGCTGGGTACTTGATATCTCCCCCAAGTTTTTTAATTGACTTCTAGCTGCATCCATTAACCTAAAAAATATATAATTAAAAATATTGTATGGAAAATATAATTGATTATTCCTGCAGATGTTTCTGAACATAAAAAAACCGTTTGTATAATAATAATTTCAATAATAATAATAATAGGGGGTGGGTGGCTCAGTGGTAGAGTCTCTGCCTGCGGATCCAAGGGTCCTAGGTTCGAATCCCACTGTTGGTCGGGATTTTTAATTTAATTTAATTATTTAAAATTAATTCTGATGCCTTGGTAGGATTCCCCACTCGACCATTCACTGACAGTGCTGTTCCTAAAGTGGCGCTGGGAAACAGTAACAAAGCCTACACAGAACATGAGGCTAATAACCATAGTAGTTGATGCCGATGACACAAATAATAATAATAAATATTAATTAGGGGGTGGCTCAGTGGTAGTCTCTGCCTGCGGATCCAAGGGTTCAAATCCCACCGTTGGCTGGCATTTTTTTGTTTAATTTATTTATTTAAAATTACTTCTGATGCATTGGTAGGAGGATTCCCCACTCGACCATTCACTGTTGGGTTCTAATTAACAGTGTTGTTTCTAAAGTGGCGCTGAGAAACAGTGACAAAGCCTACACAACACGAGGCGAAATAACCGTAGCAGATGAAGCCGGTGACACACAAAAAAATAAACAAATAATAATTAATAATATCGCTTCGGTAGGGAGTGTGCGATTTATCTCCTTGATCCCTTGGACCCACTCGAAAAGACTTTGGACTATAGTGTTGACATATTAACAATTTTTAACTTGTAAATAAATTTTTTCTAATATAATCTGTATTCAAAATGTATGTTTGAACAACCACAACGATTTTTGTCTATTTTTCATCACCTTTGTGACAAAACAAACTGAATTGAATTTTTTTAAATTTAACCTTTTCGACAAACTTTTTTGACGTTTCGCATGAATCATTAATATGTTACTCTGGTAATGAATTAATTTTTTTAAATTCAATCGGGATTGAGTGAAAACTGCAAAATGTTTTAATTTTTATTAAAAACAAAGCAAAAATTTTAATATCACTTTTTTTAAGCTTTTAAAAATTTGTATTCCTACTTTATTTTTATCAGTTTGAAAGAGCTCATCTGCTAAGCGATTTCGGTCGAATACCGGGACCGGTTAATATTAGTTCTAAAGGCCATTTAGGCCCGCAGCTTTTGGTATAACATTGTCTTTTCCAACTTACGTCATTTTGACGAAAAAAATATATATGCAACCTATTCTTGTATCTATAACAATTTATGATATAGGGTGTTTACCAGGGGTGTTAAATATCGGAATTCATAATAATCGTTTTTATTAGTTTTGGTGAAAATTGATACACATTTTAGTAGATAGTACCTACTTGTGTTAACCAATGATACAAAAGTTGAATAAAAATATTTTAGAGTTGTAACATATAGCAATATTTTTTATATTATGAACTATTCTGAATGAAAATAAGAATAAAAAATTGTCATAAAGACATGAATATCTTGTTCCTAATTCAGAATTAATTTACCAGATAATAAAGTGACTCTGTATTTGAATAGTTTAGAATCAATATCAATTTGGATATTTTCGATTTTGTAAATGAGATTGGATGCACTGAAAAAGCATATACATTATTATATTGTGTCAATTTTACGTCATAAAGTCTTCAAGACGTAAGTGACAATTTAAAGAAATCGTATTATTTGTATCGATTAATAATAATTTATAAAGAATTTTCATTAAAGATGATTTTTTTTTATTTATTATGTTTGTCATGTTTGTTTTAGACTAAATATTGATGTTGAAAACAATATTGGCAATGTTAATGTAGTTAACAATATTGGTAAAAATAAAAACATTTTAATTTCAAAAAATGATAATGTTCTTTTTTATGAAGGATGAAGATAGGAAGAATTAATCCTTGTACAAGACTAAAAAAATATTATTTAATATGTAGTAAAATTAACTATATTTAAAGGTACAAAAAGTCTTATCGTTAGACTTGTAAAACTATTAGAGATACATTTTATAGAAAACTAGATGACAACACAATCGTCAAAAAAATATTAAAAGTGGCATGTCGTGTTTTGTAGTTAGGTACATGGAAGGGGGGAGGCAGTGAATAAGATGTACTTTGTCCCGGTGGTGGGAGCTGTCGTTTAACCTGTCAAATTCAAAATAAAATTTCACATCGATGGAGTTTTTCGTTTTAGCTGACAATGAAATAATTTACTACAATAAAAAACCCTTCAGTGGTGGGGCGAGACCTAAATTTTATGTGGGCTAGATACATTTTTGCGAGGCCCTCTAGTGGTGCAAGAAGACGAATTTTATATAGAGAAATAAAATTAAAACTTGTATTCAAAAAAATGCTAATATCTCTTAGACTTTAACTAATATTTTTAAGTAATTATTACTAGCAGTAAAGAATTACAGAAACATAAATTTCCTGCTTTTAACTTTACTGAACTCCTGTACCATAATCCAGATTAGATGCTATATCTGCTTCATTGTACTTCTTAATTTTTTATTAGTTTTAATTTTGAAAAGCTCCTTTCAGCAGTTGTACTAACTGGTACAGTTAACAAAATTTGAAGGACAATATAAATATTTGGATAAATTTCTTTCAACTTATTTTCTATTATGTATTGGAGCAGCTGTTTTACACCTTTAATGAAATCAGGTAAATTTGGGATCATTATTTGTAAATCTTCATAAAATTCGTAAGGTTTAAAATCACAGCTCTCATCCACTCGAGAACAGTCCACTTTAAATAATTTTAAAGGTGATGCTTTTAAAAAATACAAAAATAAGTCAAAAATCATATAAAGGGGGACGTCTTAGGAAAGAAATAAAAAAGAAAAAAAAAGGGGAAAAGGAAAGAAAAAGAAAGAGCTCAAACAAAAACGCAGAAGACGCACCTTTCAAATGATTCACGTCTTACCTCTGGAATCGAATATTAGAGGAAATTAAAGAAAAGTAAACCAAATCGGAACGTTCTGTTAAATATAATAATTCGATTTTTAGTTTTTAATATAATTATATTGTTTTATAAATAAAGTAGTTTATTTTTAATATTCTTGCACAGAACGATTGCCACAAAGAAGTTTTGAATTGACACACTGTATATGCGTAATAGTTTAAATATTTCACTTTAACGAGCAAAACTTTTAAAGGTTCTAACCATAAAACCATTTTTTTTACTTATTTTAGTTCAATGGACCGGTTTACTTTTTATTTAATATTTATCCTCTTTCAATCAGTGGATTGTCACATCAAAATCTGTTTATACAAACAGAAAACAAAATAAGCGAATATATGGCCATTTACAGGATTTTACCAATGTAGCATACCTACTCAGTAAAAAATGTAGTTTGTGCAACAAGAGTAGATATGGACAATCAACTTGAGTCGTACAGTATATTTTTTCTACGACCCACTAACAAAAATCTACAAATTTAAAAAATTATTTTAGGTTGTTAAGCCAAAATAATTAATTTTAAAATAATTAATGAAATTTATTAATTTATAAATTAAAATAAACTTACAAAAAATTGTCTCAAGCACGAATTCAAACCCGAGCTATTCGCGTGGAAAGCAAATTCTCTGCTCACACCTCCACGGACACTTTTGTGATTTTAGTTTTAATACTCTTAATTAAATTAGTTTCATAAAGATTGATAAAAATTTTCAAAATGTTAACCAAATAATAATAAAAATAATATTATTTATCGTTTCTACACAAAAATAACTTTGTGGGACATCCTGTATACATCTAACAAATTTTAAATTGTAGCCGTCTGAAACCTACGTATTCCTCCCAAACGAATTTTTTATATCTTTGGTCGTTTTCCCATAAAGCTCCGTCCCGTTGAGCGTGAGCCACCCTGTATATTTAGTCTTAATAACCAAAAAATATAATGGCAATTATTTTGACAGAGTTGTCACTTATTTAAAATAATAATGGTTGGGTGTCTAAAATATGAACTATGATTGGTGGATTTAATTTTTTTGCAGTCTTCTCACTACCTAGAATGTATATGAAATATATTCGTTTAATTAAACGCAATAGCATACTTTTTCGTCTTGTAATCTGAGCGTAGATAAGCTAATATCCATATGGGTGTAGAAAAACGATATTACCTATTTGTTATATCACTACGGCGCCACTTCCAGAGATATACATATATTGGAACAAAAAACAGATTTTGATAATGTTTAGAATTTGGCATTCTTTCTTATTTAAAATAATTATTTAAAGTAATTTTTTTATATTAAAGTTAAAATAGAGAGTGTTTGAAATTTAACATTCTTTTATATAATTTTTGCTTACATATAGGTAGGTCAGATGTGAGAATAAATATTTTTCATAAGTTAAAGACAGCTGCATTAAACCTTTGAGTCGCGAGACCCTTCAAGCCGCGACGCCGTAGGCGGTGGCCCACGTCGCCCACGCCTTGCGCCGCGTCTGAAACCCTTTTTAAGCATTTTTATCGTCGAGTTTTGCTACTTTTGGTGTTAGCTTAGATATTTTCGTACATCGATAATAGCAAAACTAGACGGCGAAAAGAATTTATTTATTGTTATAGAAGCAAATTATTTCATTGCCAGAAAAAAATTTAAAATTCCATCGCTGTGAAACATTATTTTGAATTTGACAAGGTAGACGAGAGCTCATACCACCGGAACAAATATTTATGTTGTTCAACCCTCTCCTGTACCAAACTACAAATAGCAAGCGAAAAACACGACATAAAACGGTCGCCTAAAAAAATATTGTATGCACCTCGGCCGTATGATCATTTTTGGTCTAACCAGCTTGGCCAGGGACGCAAATTTCCAATTCGGTTAAAAAAGATCAAATTTACGGCCTTGGTACACAAATAACAATTATAATTTTTATCTGTTTTTATTTTTTTGATAATTATTTACACCAATCCTTGTAATGGGATCAACTTGGAGGTTCAGTTTGTTATTTATTAAAAACCCTATTTACAAAACAAAGAAAATTG